TCCACATATTTTCTTAATTTCTTAGGCCATTCCTGCTCCAGAAATTCCTTTAATGGTGAATAATCCGTATTAAAGCGTCGGTATGAAACCTTTTCTGTTCTCCATAAATGACTACGGATCCAAACATAACAACTGAGTACACCCTGAGAATCGTCCACCTCCTAGCCTTCTGCAAGCATTTAACGATCTGAAGGTCTCTGCTAGGATTGCAGAAACAGGATTAATCTTCTTCGGTAGCTGTTCAAACAAGTCTACCACTGCAGCTTCAACATATCCCAATACTTTTGGGAAGATGACCATACCCATATATACCCAGAGCAAATAGATCGAAGCGTACTTTAATATCTGGATGGCTTTGAATAAGTTCTCTGATGTTGGTCCAAGCTATGCCTTCGCTTTCGCCTTTTTGTTTTGTACGGGATGCTACCCATTCTTCTCGTACCCCGGCAATCTTTGCTAATTTAACTCGAAAGGGTTGAGTTTTAATTGACTTTGAATATATTCGATTCTCCAAAGCACCTTCAAGATGTAACAAAGTTGTATATTCTTCAATAGTAGGGACCAAGTCCTCCTTATTGAAAGTGAAGCAATTGTACCCTGGATTCCAGAATTGAACTAGGGCTCTGAGTAATTCATCATCAACTTCAACATAGCAAATATGGGATGTCTCCGTAAGTCTGATAAAACTGCAATTTTTGTTTGAATCCCAACTTTCCCAAATGCTTCGCAAATCTTGCATATCATTTCTTTTTAGTGAAACTGAAGCATAACTGGCCAAGTCAGATACATAATCATCCTGCAGACTGTCTCCTTCTTGTCTTTGTAAATCTTCAGCCCACTGTCTTACTTCTGAGTTTAGAATTATTTGACTTGAACACTTTTATCCATAAATGAAGGCTTTCCAATGAGACAATTAACACAAGGATCAATGTCTTTTATCCTGTATGATGCAAGCAAACAGAAAAATAAAGAACACCAAAAAAGAAAATAAATTAGTTTACATAATAAAGAAATTTAATAATAACATTTACATAAATATTCTTTATTTAAACATGCTTTTCTGAATTTAAATAATTTAAATAAACATGTAATTTAAACAATAAATAAATTAACAGAAAAGACAGAATTCATTTCTCCTGTGTACACCTATTTTGGACAAAATTTCGGCATGACTTCGGATTGGAAGAGTTTCTAGGTTTTTTATATGCAGGGTTCAGATCTAGGAGTAAAGGTACTCGAATTGTCCATGTTAGTGCCCCTTAGGCTGCTAACCCTCAATCCTAGTCCATTACAGACTAAAGTGGATCGAGTTCAATTCAAGGGATACATTTCTCTATGCCTGACACGGAGAATAAATTCTCACGAAGACATAGAGCATATGAACCCCGAAAGTTACTTGCTAGGTCTGACACGGAGAATAAATTCTCACGAAGACGTCGCTTTCACTCCCACTTAAAAGGGACAACTCAATTATAGAGCTTTATGTAATGCAATGCAAGTGTTGTGTGTGAGGAGAAAATGTTCAAACCTTCAACAGAGAATAAATAATGAATAAAATACTTGCAAATAAATAAACATATAAATATTATGAAAATAATAAGTAAATATAAAAATTTTGAAAAGAAAGAAAAAATTAAATATATAGTTTTTAATTTTAATTAATAGAGACAATTTATAATTGATTTTTAAAAGTTTGACCCAGTCCCCAGCGGAGTCGCCAAGCTGTCGTAACCGGTTTTCGCCCGGGCACGAATTTATTTGTTTGGCGGGAAAAGTGATGTGAATAAATGGTTTTGAAATAATTTGGGAGTCGCCATCGGCCTTTTGGGTCAGGTAGGTCGAATACCTAAAAATTATTTTTTTAAAAGAGTTAGAAAACATCAATTAAAAAAAATTGAACTGATCTGCATTTATAACCAAAAATTCGTTCTTTTTAATAATAAAAAGGGATTCGTGGTCGGTTACGTTTAGGGAAGGATTAGCACCCCTACAACGCCCAAATTGGTACTTTTTAATTATAAATTGTCTCTATTATTAAATTTTAAAAATTCAAAAATATATTTAATTTATAATTCTATTATTTCAAAATATATAAAAAATATTTATTTATTTAAAAATATCCGAAAAGAATTCTAGTGCCGTAAGACAGCTCTTTTATTTGATATTGATAAATATTAATTTAAATAATATTGTTTACTTTTTAATTTTAAAATATCAGAATAGGACATCCAGTTGTATTAAGACTGTCCTTTTCTTCGATATTAAAAATAAATATTTAAAAATACTATTTATTATATATTTATGAATATAAAAATATTTAACAATATATAAATAAAAATACAAATACTACTAAAATATATTAAAAACAATAAATAATGAAAACATATAAATAACTGACTAAATTACAATAAAAATAAAATTAAAAATCTAATTCATAATTAATCAAAATTATAGGGATTAAATATGTTATTTCTTTATTTTATTTATTGGTGACTAAAATAAATTATCTAAAATTCGGATATTAGAATCAAATAATTAAAATATAAACTAGGGATTAAAATTATTTATTAAAATTAATGGATTAAATCTGTAATTTATCCTAATATATTATTTTAATATGAAGGACTAAAATAAAAGAAATTAAAATTCGAAGACTGAATTAAAAATATTATAAATTCATTTAGTGACTAAAATGTAAAGTTACAAGTTCAGGACTGCGGACAGGGTTTAACTATTTTATAATTACGCGCATAGTCCTTCCCGAAATGACGTCGTTCGGGAAGGACTATATATGGTCCAAACCGGTTGGCCCGAAGGGCCAGCCTTCATTTTCATTTCACTCTCTCTCTCTAAACTGAGAGAGTTTAAAACTCTCTGCCTTCTCTCTAGCTTCCCTCATCGGAGGGAAGCCGGTCACCGGTCGGCCACCCGTGTCCGCCGTGAATGTCACCGCCGGCCACCGCATCCGGTGGCCGAAAAAATTATTTTATACTAATAAATAGATCGAACCGTCCTAAGGACGGTCCCGGTGTTCTTTTCCCTTAAAAAGCTCCTAATCGGAGCGAATCTACAAAAATACCTTCGATGTTTCGAAGGTTCCGACGAGATCCGGTGGTCGAGGCTTCCTCGGTATGTCTCTTCTTCCTTTTTCTTTTTTTTTTTCTTCTGGTTCTTTGCTGCTGAGATCGTTGGTAATAGTTTGTATCTTCTCTGTTTTTTTTTTCTGTCTCTCTCTTTTTTTTCTGTCTCTCTGTCCCGTTCTCTGTCTCTGTCCTTTTTTTTTTCAGGTTGGGGTGGTGGCTTTTATAGCCACCACCGTTGTAGCCGTCGGACCGGTCCGAAGAGGGGGTCTCGGTGAGTCACCGGACTACCAGTGGTGACTCACCCCGTAGCCGTGGCGTGGACGGCTGGCGTTGGAGCTTCTGGAGCGTTCGGTTGGGACGTGGCAGCGGCGGAGGCGGCGAGATAGCAACGGCGGCCGCGTGTCCCTAGGGTATCAGACCCTAGGGTTTCCATCTGGGGCAATCTGGACCGTTGGATCGTGCCAGATCCAACGGTTGTGATGAGGCGGCTGGTTTAGATTAGGGTTAGGAAACCCTAACTGGAAACCCAAATGTTTAGGGTTTCTGGTTTGATTTGGACCGGTTCTGGTTTGTTTGTAACTGGGCCGGTCCAGTTGTAATTGGTCTGTAATTATATTTATATATATGTTTAATATATATTTAATAATAATAATAATAATAATATAATAATAATATAATAATAATAATATTAATATTAATAATAATAATATGGATAAAAAATTAATATCTTCATATACGATGAAGAACGTGATTTTTCGACAATAAATAAAGTCGTCGACCATTAAACTTAACGGTTGTTGCTAGGATAATTTTGCAAACCTAAATAAGTTAAGTGTTTCAACCCTAAACAAATACAAAGTTTAAAATAATTATAATTTTTAATAAAAAATATAATTTAATTATATTCCTATTAAAGTTTAAACTTAAATAATAATAAAGGATTAATCGTGGATAAGTTATTATATTTTTTTATATTTATTTAATAAAAATATTTTAGTTAATAGTGTGCATCGGTACGTCATATTAATTGTGTGTTTCAATTTACGATGTGTGCTCTAAAATTTTACAAAAAAATAACATTTTTGTATTTATATAAATTTGAATCCAAATCAATTCATTAAGTAATAATCTATTGTTTTTAATTTTTTTTACTTTTATAAAATATTTTTAAGAAAAATATTGAAAACATTTTTTATTATTTTTAAATTTTCACATATTATCATTTATGTTTCATTTGGTTTCAAAAATAGATCAGCTTATTTAATTTACAGTTTTTTTAGAAAATGAAGAACAATAAAAAAACATGTTTGGTTGAAATTCTTAAAATGTGAAGGAGCTATTTAATGTTTTAGGATAAATTATATATAAAATCATTATTTAATGACATATTCAATGTTTTAAAAGTAGTTAGAGGTATAACTAAATGTTAACATTTTTGTTACCACGTCATCAATTGAACATAATGAGTGGAGTGATTATTTTATTTAAAATTTATAATGTTAGTGATATATTTGTTACTTCTGAAACTTCAATGGGAAAAACAAATATTTACTTAAATATTAATGATTATTTGTGTAGTTTATCCCCTTTAGAAATAATAACACTCTCTAATAATTGAGGTGGTTTAATAGTTTCAATGAGAATATTTTTTAAATCATATGAAACTATGAGCACCGATATTTCAAGAATAGTGGAGCCTGAAATATTGGTGCATGGGAGTCACATCAGAATCAGTCATTGGCGGAGATATCTTTTGTTTTGTCCCAATACCCTTCACTACAGAAAAGCAGAATCATGATTTTGTTGGATGATTTGATTCCATCCTTGACTTTCTCCTTGCCATTTTATAACCTAAGTGGTGTAGACAAAGTATGTAAAGATCATAATAAATGTGAGTTGGATTAAATATATTATAATCCATCAGTAATTCATCAATCACTTTGATCTCGTAAATATATGTCACAACCATATTAACAAGGAACGGAATGTAAGAAAGAGGAGAAGGAGATGGCTGGAAGGAATGAATTCAAGGAACTGGTGTTGCCAAGCATGGCCATGGTTGGAGTAGAGTGCTCCACTGTAGTCGGTAACATTCTAATGAAAGCTGCTTCTTCCAAAGGGATGAGCTACTTCGTCTTCACAGCCTACGGTTATATATTAGGCACCATTGTTTTCCTTTCTTTAGCCTTCCTCTGTAACAGGTCTTTTTGCACTACAGAAATTTGTATTTTTCATGAATTTGATTTGAAGCTTTTGGCTCTAACATGTCTTCTTTGTTTATGTGTTTTGTTACCAGGAAAACAGCGCTCCCTCCATTGAAGTTCCCTCTTTTCTCTAGAATTTTCATCTTTCAACTTCTTGGGTATGGATTTCTTTCTTCTCCTGTGAAATTTTGTTCAATGCTTGACAAAGAGATCGTCAACCCCATGGATTTGTTTCATCTTTGGAGACAGGTTTACAGGTCAATTATGCTTTTACAAAGGCTTACAGCTTAGTTCTCCGACTCTTGCTTCAGCCAATAGCAATCTCATACCAGCGTTTACCTTCATACTTGCCGTCATCTTCAGGTTCTTAATGGTCTTCTGAATCCCATTTTCGTTTCACGTTTAATGATCTTTATGTGTATGATAAAAGTTCCCTGAGAACCCGTTTTACCCTGTTTTTGCACGTACAAGGATGGAAAAAGTTGCATTCAAAAGTTCAAGTACTCGAGCTAAATTCATTGGCACCATAGCTTCAATCTTTGGTGCATTTGTGATTATTTTGTACAAGGGCCCCAAAGTTATTTCCTCTCTAACTTGGACATCATCATCATCATCTTTAATTCAAAGGCCTCTAGTGTTTATGTCATCTGAATCAAATTGTATCATTGGTGGCCTCCTACAAGTTGTTACATTTCTTTTTGTTTCATTTGAGTTCATTATCCAGGTAAAAAAAAAGGTTTCCAAGCTCTACTTGTGTACAAGTACATAAAACTAGAATTGATTTTTATTGCAAAATTTCAGTCTCAAATAATGAAGATTTACCCAGAAGAGATCACTGTAACTTTCTTTGGCAAGTTGGTTGGAGCCATCATATCTCTACCTGTATGCTTACTTGTTGAACCAAACTGGAGTTCCTGGAGACTCGGTTCTAGTTTAGCTGTTGTTTCCATCTTGTACTCGGTAAGACTGATGTATCCGATACGGGTATGGTTAGATTTTTCTATAACTCGGATACGGTGTATCCGAATGTGATTTTGTTGTTGCTCCTTGTTTAGGGACTTATTGGGAGCTCCTTTTACTCTTTTGTTCATATCTGGGGTATACACTTGAAGGGGCCTGTGTTTGTTGCAAGTTTCAAGCCAACTGCAGTTGTCATTGCGGCTGTTATGAGTGCTATATTCCTTGGTGAAGCAATATTTCTTGGAAGGTACTAAACCAACCCCGTTTTACAATTTCCACACTCTGTTCTGTTGAACGTAGAATGATAGTATCCATTTCCATTTTCACACGAATTTCTACCTAATTTTTCAGTGTGATTGGAGCCCTAATCTTATCCGCGGGTCTGTATTGCGTACTGTGGGGAAAAGCAAAGGAAGAACAAGAAATGACAGATGCAGGCACCATTAATGGGAGGGTACCTTTACTCCAAAGGCAACTAAGTTGAAGAAATGAAAGTTGTGCGTCAGCCTAATTTAAAACTAAAAAACGGGTTTATAGGATGCAACCAAAAAAATGCGATAAATTTTTCGGTTGCCAACTGTAACATTTTTGGTTGAAATGAAAATGTTAGGAAAATGTATAATTTAGGTTACGTCCAACCTAAATGTTATGATTTTTATCATATTTTTAGTTGTGCCTAAAGTCATCGTTTTTTAACTTTAAATTGGGTTGAAAAAATGTAACTGGTTTATCAGAATTCAATATTATTAATTTTTAAATAAAATGTAATTTTACTTTCATTTCAACTTATTTTTCCTTTATATATATCTTTAAAAAGGGTCATACCCCCACTAGTCCCTCTTCTGCATGGGCGCTTCCACCACATTAATTGGCATGCTAAAACATCACCTATAAATATTTTGAATGAAATGCTTTATGAAAACAATGATACTACCATTAAACTAATAATTTTTAGCTAAATAATTATAAAAACATATGCAAAATGCGAAATATTTTTAGTTGTTATATGAACACGAAACAAACTCATAACAATCTTTGAAATATTAAATTATTAAAATAAAACATGAGACATTACATAAAACATAAAATAATATGAATATAATATACATACTTGTCGCCTAAACAACTCATCATATTTCTAAATTGTTTTAAGGAAGATGTTATGAACAAAGGACCAAGAGCGAACAACCAAGTCGACAATCATAACCACTATAATATTGTAAGGGGATACATGTCAAGAAAGAACTAATGACAGAAATTAATAAAAAAAAATTAATTAAAACCACGTTGATGCATGCTGCCATTGGAGAAAAGACAGCCCAACCACGTGTGCCACCTAGTTTTCATCACTAAATTTTGATTCTTTTCTTGGTGTGTGTTGAATATCTAGTGAAGAAACAGAGAATACTAGTATATTGAACAGAGAATGAATACATACATATATGGTTTACAACTCCTCTGTTGTTTATATACATCTCTTTATTTCATAGTTGTTATAGTCTTAACAGACTTTGTAACTAAACATTAACAACCTCAATTAAACATTAACATCCTTAACTGCTAACAAACTTCTAGAATCACTAAACAACATGCACTAACTCATTATGCTAACATTCTCTCTACTTCTTATTCTTCTGTTCTTATAACCTTGAACACACTATTATAGCAAGCTCTAAAAACTAATTACAACTCATTTCTGACATTCAATCTTCTTGATGAAAAGATGAACAATTGAATCGAAAGTGTCGATGCTTCCTTCCGTTCACTTTTGTTGAAACATTTTGTTGAAACATTTTAATATTTCGATATAACAAATTAAGTTAAATGGATTTTAAGATTTTCAAATTAAGTTAAAGTAATTTTAAGATTTTCCAAACGATTTTCTAAGTATATTCGATATAACTATTCGAATATCAAAACATTACTCCAAATATTTCAAAAATAATTTTTGATCCTTACTTAAGTGTAAAATTAAGTTTTAATCATAAAACAATTTCAAAATAATCTTACAAAGTATTTCGAACCAATTCAAAGCCAAAAATTCCAGATTGCTCAGAGGGAACCGATTCCCCCCCATAGGAGGAACCGATTCCCCCCTGAATGGTTTGGCTCCGAGATTTCCAGAATGCTCGGAGGGAACCGATTCCCCCCAAGGGGGTACCGATTCCCCCCCTGTTCAACGGTCGAAATATTTGAATTTTACACTTAGGGAACCGATTCCCTATGAGAGGGAACCGATTCCCCCCACTGTCCAAGCTGTTTTATTAAATGTTTTCACACTAAAACGGCTATAATATCTTCTCTAATTATCCCCAACGTTCAGAAGTGATCCAAGGTGTATTTAAGCAAGCTTAGAAGCCATTGATCAACAACAAGAAACATCAAGCAACTAGAATCAAGAGAGAATCAAAGAGAAAGCATCAAACCTCAAGTTTGAGCATTTCAAGCCCATTTTCATTCAATATTCATTTTGCTTTCAAGAACACTTTTTGTGCTCAGTTGATTCATCTTTGAGTGTTCTTTTCTTGTTCTAGAATTGTGCAAACATCTTACCTTGTGAGGTTTTCTTGTAAGTTTGCAAATTTGTAATCTTCTCTTTGAGAAAAGAGTGTTCTCAAGAGTTGGGGTATACTCTTGAGGGAATTGTAAGGTTATCTCTTTGGCCTCAAAAGAAAGAACAAATTAGTGAATTTGTTGGAAAATCCTTAGTGTGGATAGCTAAGGTAGTGGACGTAGACTTTGTTTGAGAAAGTCGAACCACTGTAAATCGCTGTGCAATTACTTTCAATTTTCTGCAAAAGCTTCCACAAAATTTTTATTGCCAATTCACCCCCCTCTTGGCCAATTTCGTCATTCGATTAACTCAACAATTGGTATCAGAGCCTAACTCATTTGAAGGTTTAATCGCCTCTTGAGTCGATCCGGGAAGAGTTACATCGATTACAAAGTCATCAATGGCCTCCACTTCAAACTTCGACTCCGGTCTCGATTCGATGCCCGTCAACAAGCCTCCTTTCTTCAATGGAGCTAACTATGCCTATTGGAAGAATAGAATGATGTACTTCATTCAAGCAAGTGACATGGGAGCATGGAATGCTGTAGAAGAAGGATACATCAAACCTCTCACTCATCCAAGGTTGTGGAGTGAAGGAGAGACGAGAATGTTCCAGCTCAACTCCAAAGCCATCCATATTATTTTTTGTGCTCTTGGACCAGATGATACGGAAGAGTTTCATCGTGTACAACCGCCAAAGAAATATGGACAAACTTCAAGTCACACATGAAGGTACAGATGAGGTAAAGAAATCAAAAATTAGTATTCTAACGCATAGCTATGAAAATTTCAGGATGAAACCAAATGAAGACATCAAAGCTATGACGGATAGATTTTCAACGATTGTCAATGGTCTCAAATCATATGGAGAGATCATCTCAAATGAAAAGCTTGTGAGGAAGTTAGTCTACTCCCTCCCAAAATCATGGCAATCAAAGAAGACGGCAATCATCGAGTCTAAGGACCTATCGTCCTTAACTCTTGAAGAACTTATCGGTTCACTCCTCACTCATGAGATGATGCTTGAAGATGAGGTGGACCTTGATAAAGTTGAAGAGACACCAAAGGAGAAGGAGAAGAAGAAAAACATTGGAGTTGCTCTCAAATCCACAAAAGATGAGAGTGATTCTAATGATGATGATGACGAGGAAATGGCATTGTTTGCCAAACGGTTCAGAAAAATGATGAGACCTTACCAAGGAAGAAATTCAAACGAAATGAAGGCCTCAAAAATGAACCAAAAGAGAAGGACCCAATCATTTGCTATGAATGCAAAAAGCCGGGCATGTCAAATATGATTGCCCACAATTGAAGAAAAAGGGTCAATCAAAGAATAAGCACAAGGCTCATGTGGCTACATGGAGCGATGAAGAAGGTTCCGATGAAGAGGAACAAGAAGTAGCAAACTTGTGCTTGATGGCATTCGGGGAAGATTCTAAGGTAACCTCTAACTCATCCGATTTTGATGATTTATCTTATGATGAGTTATTTGAGGAGTACAATGGGTTGGCTTCGGATTATGAGAAATTGTTTTTAAAATATAAAAATGATGTTTCAAAATTGAAAAATGAAAACAAACTCATATCCAAAACCAACAACGATCTTGAAAGTAAAATCAAAATTTGCAAATCAAACTAGAAGAGTTTGAAAAGAAAAATTTAGATTTGCAAAATTTACTTTCAAAGATCAATGATGATCATCAAAAGAAAATTGATGATCTTAAAACTTCTTTTGATAAAGTTGGAACAAAACATTTTGAAAAGGTGAAAATTCAAAATCCAACTTTGTTAGAAAAAGTTTTAGAAACTACAATCATAGAGGTCCCCAAAGAACCTCTAATAGAAAAATCATTAGAAGTGTGTGGGTTCCTAAAGAACTCATTACTACTAAAGATAAAATATCCTACACAAATGGATACCTAAAGGGACTAGGATTTTGGAAACTAATGAATATGGACCCAAAAGAATTTGGTACCAAAAATCAAAAATTAATCTATGTTTGTAGGGAAAGGAGCATTGCTACAAGGCACGGGAAACAAATTCAAACTCATGGTACCTTGATAGTGGATTCTCAAGACATATGACCGGAGACAAAAGCCGGTTCATTGAGCTTAACGCCAAAAATGGAGGAGAAGTGACTTTTGGAGATAATTCAAAAGGTCACATTGAAGGTATGGTACAATAGGTAATACCTCTTCCATACAAATTAAGAAGTTTTATATGTGAATGGATTAAAGCATAATCTATTGAGTATTAGTCAATTATGCGATAAAGGATTCAATGTCTTATTTGAAATTAATGGTTGTAAAGTCATTGACATTGCATCTAATCGGATTATGCTTGTTGGTCATAGAATAGGAAACATTTACATGGTGCATTTAGATTCTATTGATATGACTAATTTATGCCTAGTTGCTAAGGATGAGCATGATAGTTGGTTATGGCATAGGAGACTAGGTCATGCTAGTATGAGTGTTTTGCAACGGCTAATTCAAGGTGATTTAGTTCGAGGGTTGCCTAAGCTTAAATTTGATAATGATAAAATCTGTGATGCTTGTGCTAAAGGAAAACAAAAACGAGTTTCTTTTAAATCTATTAATGATGTATCAACTAGTAGAGTATTACAATTGATCCATTTAGATCTTTTTGGGCCAACTAGAACTACTAGCTTGGGAGGAAAACAATATGCATTTGTCTTGGTAGATGACTATTCTAGATACACTTGGGTTCTATTCTTAAGTACTAAAGATGAAGCATTAGAAAATTTCATCACATTTTCAAAAATAATCCAAATGAAAAGGATACTCTATCACTAGTGTTAGAAGTGATCATGGAACTGAATTTGAAAATCTTGGATTTATTGAGTTTTGTAATTCTAATGGTATTAGCCACAATTTTTCAGCACCTAGAACCCCTCAACAAAATGGAGTTGTTGAGAGGAAAAATCGAACTTTAGAAGAAATGGCTAGAACCATGCTTTGTGAAAATAATTTGCCAAAATATTTTTGGGCGGAAGCCACAAATACCG